CATTTGATATAAATAAATAAATGTTTGTAAAATGATAGGGGTGTGCAATAGACTAACCTCCATGTGATGCACCCTGGGCAACGTATACTCACGATAGACTTACCTCCAGGTGGTGCACCCTGGACAACGTATACTCAAACGGCACCTCCACGTGGTGCACCCTGGGCAACGTATGCTCACTTCAAACTACTAAATCTATTAACTGGCAGTTGACTTCTGACTTCAAACTATGCAAAATTACATTTACCGACAGTTGACTTCTGACTTCAAACTGCCACTTTATTATTCGGCAGTTGACTTCTGACTTCAAACTACCAAAAGTCTATTAACTGGCAGTTGACTTCTCACTTCAAACTGCCATCACCCAACCGGCAGTTGACTTCTGACTTCAAACTGCCATGATCCCAATGTATGTCATATTCGACCCATTTTACAGTACTCACCTCACCTTTTTCTACCTTCGTCTTTGAAACACTCTTCTGTTCCCTCCTCCCTCTCGACTTCTACCTTCGTCTTTGAAACACTCTTCTGTTCCCTCCCCATCCCCTCCCGACTTTCTTTCACTTTGATGTTCCTTCCCCTCTGTGAAGTCCAGTCAAATAAAGGGCTAATGATAACCATCAAAACGCCTGCAATTTGATATAAATAAACAAATAACTGTTTGTACCTTGGTGATAACTTTGTCACTTGGCGCTTCAAAGCTGTGGGACACGTTATCGCTCTGTGCGTCATCGCATGCCTGCATGTCTGCTCGCCGGGATTGGGAGGCACGGCCGTACAACTCTGTGTGCGGAACAGTACAAACAGTGACCAATCATCAACCTCTGTTTAACCCCCCATCCTGATCATGATCAGGCCCCCTACGTATACACGTTATCCGCAAGATACTCACCGAATAAACGCTCTCCGTGCTACACGTCTGTTTCCTTTATAGCTGGGCTATAGCTTGGCTAGTTCTGGGAGTCTAGCTAGATGTAGGAGAATCTGCCATAGAGATTTCTGAGTCAGTCAGGCTTTACTAAGGTAGCAATCCGCTACAATACCCCTTCCGCCTGTAAAATTTACAAATTATCAACCGACCTATAATTAATGTAAATTCTTCCCAAGTATTCGAAAATCTGTTCGTCTGTACTACTGCTTTCGCACTGCACACTATCAGATCCCCAATAATTTTATGCCAATCTCGTCAGGGAATGGCATAAAATTCCTTCTATTGCACGGACAACTTCTATAGAAGCTAAGACTAACAGTAATCAGCAGGCAACTTCAGTGCTTGAGATTCAAAACACAGAGAAGAGCAGAACATCGGCAATCAAAAAAGGGGGGGGGGGGTTAGTAATCGAGTGAGAATGTGAGAGACCGCCGACGCTAAACAGAACGAAGGAGGGAAAGGTAAATACAGAGGGCGTGAAGATTGAAGCGGATTGCTACTTTATTAAAGCCTGACTGACTCAGAAATCTCTATGGCAGATCCTCCAACATCTAGCTAGACTCCCAGAACCAACTAAGCTATAGCACAACTATAAAGGAAACAGACGTGTAGCACGGAGCACGTTTATCCAGGACGTATAGTGGGATGGTGTACACGCAGGGAGTTAATCATGATCAGGATGGCGGATCAGGTTAAACAAACAGATGTTAAGTTGGTCACTGTTTGTACGGTCGCACCTCCCAATCTTGGCGAGCAGACAGGCAGACATACAATGACGCACACAGCGATAACGTGTCCCACAAAATGTGTGTTGCTTATTACGTATTTTAATTAAACCCTCAAACGACAATCTTTCATCCCCTTCTCAACATGATATTTCGCTGGGACACATTGTGTCATATATCAGTAAAAATAATATTGCTGCCAATAACGAATATGATAACAAATAAGCCATAACCGGATATCAAAACACTTATTAAAATATAATTGGCAACAGGTATATATATACTTTATTAAAGGTATAAAGTACAGTTGCATAAAACTTGTGAATTAGTTAATTATACGCAATTTTTGCATAGGCGGAATAGCAATCCGGACGTCCTTTCCAATACGCACTTTGCTCAAACGCCAATAAGACTTTACTCTAGTAGAGGGAAGATTGTCAAGCGTGAGACAGATTTGTCTCAAGAACCCGGGAGATGCTAACCACAAGTTCAATCCAACACTAACAGGGTCTATCGTTTCTTCATTCACTCTGGCCATATTAGTTATCACTTGACGTACAATTGACTCCTCAAGGCCAAGCAAAGTAGCCAATCCTCTTAGAGCAGGACTCGAGCCTGACACTTTCAGTTCACCAGAATCGAATTGACCAAGAGCTGTTGCAGATCCATCCGAAATAATAATCTTGAGGATGATACGAACGTCGTCTTCACCTTCCAGGTTTATAACCTTGAAGTCCAAACACCGAATTATTTGCACGAGACATGTTTTCGGTGTCTTCTCATCACATAAGAAATCCATACGAGGCAGTGTCACTTCTGGGGTCACCTCGGATATTTCCATAGGGTCTTGGGGTAAGCACACACTGCATACAGGATTCACATGCTCATCAGGGAAACATCGGCACATTTCTAGAAAGCCTATGAATGCTTATTGACCTTACCATGGACACCAGAGGAGGTAAAGTAGGAGGGCAGAGAGTTGGGAGAGACTTGAAAATGATTAGGAGATAGTGGGAGAATAAAACGCGTGCCTTGAAGGCAGGCTTTGAAGATACATAAATGGGTTAGACGAGGGAGACGCAATAACTCATCCGCAGTTCTGTTTACACTATCGCTGACAATAAAATCGATACGAAGTGGAGACGACGTTGTTCGATCATGTCGATAAGAATCAACTAACCACAGGCTGATTTTCCTCCGATTATTATTGGAAATACTTCGTCTGGATGGTTCCCTATGCTTGAGGAAGTAACCCTGAGAGAAAGAGAGATGAATCAAGCACCAGATGTTGAATTGATAGTCATGATCTCGGCTATTTACACAAATACCTGAATAGAGACCACCACTTTTCGGTTTTGTTCAATTTCTTCTCGAAAGGCGTCATTGCTAAGAAGATCAAGCACTTCACTGACACTGAGAATTCTCCAATTATAGAGTCCAATTAAATGACGACAAGAACTACTAAGTGGAGCACCTTGAGGTTCCATCACAGGCATGGGGATTTGTCTAGAAGGCTGATCTAAAGCAATAATCAGATCAAATTGAGATATGGGTCAAAAAGCACATCTTCCAAGTTAGAGGTCTACAAAATCGATGTCCTACAATACGCCATCCCCCCCCCCTCCCCTCAGTAAATTTAATGACCAACCGTTCTGGCTGAAAATTATTTAGAAAAGACTACCAATAGAAGCAGCTCAATATTGTATTCCAGGCAGATTATTTTCTAGAAATCAAGAAGGTGGGGAGGGCAAAAAACACCGATTAAAATAGACCGCTTTTTGCCTGTTACGATGGAGTGTAAAGGAACCAAAGTGAATCTATTGGCAGGCATTGGCAAAAATTGGGACGAAAGAGGGCGGCCAACAGGATGCTAGGGATCAAAATAGTTAGGTAAGGAGCCAAATAAGTTACAATTAAAAAAAAAACGATGGCAAACTTAACCAACTGCAACACTAGATAAGCATCTCAAAAAAACAAGTGCTCTACAAAGGATTACCAGATTACAAGTTTAGGTGGATGTCGTAGTATTTTATTGATCTCATTGTCACTGTGCTCAGAGATGTGCGCCTATACAACATTAAAGTCTTATTAATACACACACAGTAGCTGCTAGACACATCGAGAGTTAGGGTTGTCCTCATCGTTTGATCTAATTTTGTGAGTAATCTCACCATTATCTGGAGAAATCCGACACTTGAGATGAATACGACGACCAACGGTAAAAAGGCCACAAGCGAAAGTCCACAGATCCAACGGGCTACACAACTCAACATCTTGGAGACTACTACTACTACTGGATTTCAGCTTGTCTTCACACCGGATTGAGAATCTTGAACCGTCAGAAGAAAGGGAGGAGATATAGCGCAGGATTATAGGTCCAGAGGTGCTACCTCTTGCCTCTTCTTCTTCTTCCTTAGAAAAACCGGAAGAAACTTGTGTGGATAGGGATCTTGGAGTAGAGTCGCAACGAATACAAATATCGGGAATATCTGCAAGACTGCAAGATTCGATTCATAAGGCGATTCATAAGCAGATAACTTATTTGAAAGCGAAGTAAAGACTCAACCTACCAATGACCAAACGCGCGGATATATGATGCTTGTTTATGCTCGTCTGCTCTTTCCGTGATGATAAGATGGGGCTGTCTGATCAAAATGACCTCATCGAGAAGATTACTTGAAAGGGTGGAGTTGGTTATGTTTGTGAATACCAACGGTAGTTCTGATGGTGGGGAAGGAGATGGGAAGAGGGGTTTTAATACCAAGCCACCAGTTTGGGGCTTCATTTTGAGACGACCGATCAGAATAAGCTCCTGATGGGGTGAGTTAGTGATGGGCTCGAAGAAACGGATTTTGGTACCACTAGAGATGAAGGAGTACAAGGGAGAGTGAGAAGTAAAAGAACTTGCAATACAATATGAAATGCGAGGGAATCATTCCTACAAAGAGCAAACATTTCCTTATAATTATCGGCACCCAAGTTGGGCATCTAGAGGGGTAATAAAATTAGCCTATGATTAAGAGGAAAAATGTTAAAATTTACGTAGGCTGAGCAAGATCAATGTACCCTAACCCCCCCCCCCTAAATTGGCCACCTCTGCTTTTCTCCTTAAATGAAAGTGGGTACATGTGCACCGGTATTTTAACAGTCCAAATTTGCACATACCCAGTTAGATGTGCAACAATTCCATTCCAGTGAAAGCCATCATAGAGACAGGAGTACATAAGTGACCACAAAGTCTACATGGGCCCTCATCCTAATCTCATTCGATCCCTACAAAGCAACATGGAGAATAGATAAATTTATTCGGCGAGCAGGGGGGGGGGTGCGATAGACTTACCTCCACGTGGTGTACCTTGGGCAACGTATACTCATACGGCAAAAAATTCCATTAACTGGGAGTTGACTTCTGACTTCAAACTACCATGACCCCACTGTGTCATATTCGACCACTTCCACAGTATCCACCCTACCTTTTCTCTGCCTTTGTGTCTGTCTGTCTCTTTTACATCTGTGAATTACTCTCCTGTTCCCCCACCTCGACTTTTTCTCACTTCGATGTTCCTCCTCCCCTCTGTAAGGCCCGAAGTCAACTCAATAGCTAATGATGACTATCTTAAATCCTGCCATTTTCTACCTTCGTCTTTGAAACACCCTTCTGTTCCCC